ACAGGGTCCTGAATGATTCCTTATTAAAATCTCGGAATGCTGTTCTTAGGTTTGCTAGGCGCCCATATACTGCAACAGTTATTTGGTTGATGTGCGCCTCAGGAGATGTGCCCGGTGTTATACTCACCCCAAGATCCTTTTCCTTGAGCGAGGTTTGTAGTCTCTGGCTCCCTAGACTGTACTCCGTCTGCGGTCTTCTTTGCCCTTCCCCAATCTTCATGACCGCACTTGATGGGGTTGAACTCCTGGAGCCAGTTTCTGGACCAGGAATGCAGCCTGTCCAGATCCCTTTGTAGTTCTGCCTGGTCCTCGTCCAATTAAATTCTTCTCCCCAACTTCACATCATCTGCAAACAGGGACACCTCTTGAGTCTATTCCTTCCGTCATGTCGTTCACAAATACCAGAAACAGCACCGGTCCTAGGATTGACCCGTGTGGAACCCTGCTCGTCACAGGCGCCCACTCTGACACATCGCCACATACCATGAGTCGCTGTTGTCTTCCTGACAGGTATTCCCTGATCCATTGCAGTGTTTTCCCTGTTATCCCTGCGCGCGCGCGCGTGCGTGTGTGTGTGTGTGTGTGTGTGTGTGTGTGTGTGTGTGTGTGTGTGTGTGTGTGTGTGTGTGTGTGTGTGTGTGTGTGTGTGTGTGTGTGTGTGTGTGTGTGTGTGCGTGTGAACGTGTGTGCGTGCATGTCTGAAACTGTGTATATGCGTGTGTAATTGTGTACAGATGTGTGTAACTGTGCATGTGTATGTAACTGTGTGTAGATGTGTGCAACTATATGTGTATGTGTGTGTCCCCTCCTTCCCACAACCATCCTTTCCCCGTTTCCTCTTTACTTGCTGCTACCACTTCTCTTCCCCCTCTGTCTCCTATCATCATATCTCCTCGTCTTAGGTGGAAACCGTAAGGTCAACCCAAACACTTACCCTAGTGATGTGATCCTTGCAACTGCCGGGTGAATCCTGTTAGAGAGGTCAACGTCCTCATGATGTCACCCCTTCAACCCCTAGGTGAATTTTTCAGAGGGATCAAAGACCTCATGAGGTGACCGCTCTTTTCCCAGGGCGAGTCCTAAGTCAGAGGGGTCAAAGGCCTTAGATCATGACCCCCATTCCTCCTTTTCCCGGGTGAGTCCTTAGGTAAAAACAAGACCTTTGTGGTATTGATCGACCGCTTCCCCCAGGCAGCCGTCGTCTTGGCCATGTCCTCTGCCGTTATTCTTTACAAAGATAACCTTATTGGCAGGGCAATTTCTGGGCTGGAGCCTCGACGCCATAAAGCTGCAGCTGGTGCTTCTGCATCAGGCAGGAACAAGCCTCTCCTTCCAGATTCTCAAGAGGCTTCTCTGTCATATTCTTCTCCAAAAACCGTATTCAAAAACTGAGGCTGCAGTAACTAGTTGGGTAACTAAGTGAAACACTGGAACTGCGTTAAATTTATTGGGTACATGATTTGTTATTTATTACATATTCCCAGCATTTTTTATTATTATTTATTTTTGCCTCAAGCTGAAGAGTTTGCCCCCGACACTAATTATTTTTATTATCTCGTTGACTCGTCCCCACCAGTGTAATTTAGTGAAACACTGAGCTGTGCTCCAAAACATTTATCCCACATGCTGGGAATCTAGCTTACGATAAGAAAATCGTCCACTGTTAGGTTAACTGACTCCCCCTGTCCTCTGGCGGAGGGCGGGGAGAGAGCGTTCTGCTATACTGTCCTGATCTCCTATGTCTTGACAAAATTAGAGACTGACCGTAGCTACTACTCAGCAGATTTATCAGCCTGTCTCCTGCTGTTTGTCTGCCTTTCCCATGTACTCATGTCTATAGTGATTTACGTAATATGGGCTCAGCGTTTCCTCAGGACAACTTGAGTGATTCTTCATTTTCACCTTAATAGGTTTAATACCTTTCGACTCCACGAGAGTCGATAAAGCTGCCAACAATTCAATTAGACACATGCATATACACAAAGATTAACAATTCTCTGTGTATATATACAATATGATTTGCATTACTCTCTTTATTGCATATACACTAATATATACACATGTTTCTCTGTACATATCTAATGTGGCTGAAAACGCATTCATCATCATTTGCTCCCTAGCTGTTTTTCCATGACGGCACATACAGCATATTTCAAAACGCAAATCCGGCCAATCGGATTCCATGAAACTTTTCATACATACAGTATCACAATGTTTACACTAGAAAAGAATTGTAAATTTAAAAAAAGTACTCGTCTCCACTCATTCCAGCTGAATACACTCATACATCTTACTATGAACCGCATGCATGTTGAATGTTCAAGACTGTAGCTCTTACAACCACCTTCAGATCCTCTTTTCAACTCTTCCTCGAATTTCCCGTACAACTACTTTCATCCACGAGCAGATTAATACTCCTTGATCATCTTATCTTGCTCCAATCTTTCTATATAACCACACAACCCATCTCCCGATCTTTAAATCAAAGTTTTCCTACCCCCGAATATGTTCTTCATTCCTAATTATCTGCATTAATAAAACACTGATTTCAAAAACAATGCTCCACACACATTCAAGTGTTGGTACCACTATAAGCTAATAAATTTTCCTTTTTGTACCCATTGACAAACTTCTTTCTACAGCTTTCCCAACACTCCAACAACTTCTCCCCGCATCTGTCCAGTGATTTACTTCAAGCTGCTCGTGAACCTGAGACTCCTTAACTCGAAGTGCACAAAAGAAACAATTTAAGGGAAGAAGAAAACGAAGCTTCATCTTACAAGGAGAGGCTATTGCATTCACAAATGTGTACCTTTCTATAGAAAAATTTTCAAGGCTGTTATAACACAGGAGCAAGAAATGCACTGCAGCATCAGCCCTCATGTTCTTATATACAGCTGCTGGCACAGGTACATAAACAGACATATATCTTAGGTGGAGCTGACACCTGTTGTAATACAGTGCAGAATAAGATAATTATGGCAATTTAATTTAAGTCGCAGAGCTTCTGGAATTCAGACGCAGCACGTATTTTCTGATCAGAACACCATCCACGGATCATTTGTAATCCTAGGTCTCTTGTGTAAATTTTCCAGTATACTGTGACGCCTAACAGCAAAGATACTAAGGAACGAAAAAATAAAACTGAATTTCTCAGAAGAAATAAAATTCGATATAATTTTTTTCCATGATCTACGGAACTCTGAAAATTGCAGGACTAAAAAAGATTTTGTAAAATACGTACTTGACATGTCAGATGGAGGAGTGATCGTGATATATCTGGTATATACCTGTTCCCGGTTTCGAAAGTGTCTCCTACTCCCGCACCCCCGGACATGGGCCAAACTTGTTTGATAGTTTCCTGGTCAACAAGGCTGTTTCTCTTTGTGCCCCGCTCATGTTCACTTGATCCATCATGAAAGCCAGAGTACACAGAGTTGTCTAGGTATTTCGCGACATCACAAAGCTGTCAGGATGAACTTGCTGAAGGCTGCGGCGTCTTCCACGTTTATCATCGAGACCAGAGAGAGGTCAAATCTCTCATCCCAACAGCGTGTTTCTTGGCACACCAAAATTATAGCTTTGTGCCCAACCTCTAATGGCTGGCACTACAACTTTTAAATGAGTGATGGTAACTGTTTCCTTTTTTAGATCGCCCTACTTCTGAGATTAAAAAAAAAAAATCTAATTTCCCGGTCGTTCATTTCTGAACGGTTTAATATTCTACGAAATTGAATATTTCTTATTTTCGGTTAGGTTAGGTTTTGTTAAACCTATATTAACCTATACCTACGTACAATTAACCAACAAAAACAAGGTGAAACAGGCCCACCTTAAGCTAAATAAGTTGAAGATGGGTTACTGCACCTAAAGTTACACTAGATAATCACTTGTAATGTAATATAATGTAATGTAGTGTAATGAAATGCCGTGTAATGTAATTTAATATAAAGTACTGGAGTGTATTGCAGACAATAATCTTGTCAGTGCACGTTGTTTGACATAAATTAAGACTGAAAGCTTACGGGGGATGCACTTGATTTACCTGATGATACACTAATATTCTATTATGTAAATCATATAAGAAAACTTCTCTGTCGAGACCATGGTTGTCTCAGGCTAGCCTATCTGTTTACACTGAAGTATTTCAAACGCAACAAAAGTCTACTGCTTTTATAATTTGATGAGCTCAGATCTAATGAGCCTATTCTCAAACTTGACAGGTGTCAATCACAACGGTTCACATTATGGGAGGGTGTCTTATCAGCAAGCGGCAGGCACTTCTAAACTTCTTAGTAACTTTCCTCAGAAACCCTGAAAAGTTAGCCAAGTGTAACCACCGTAAATACGCATAAGTCTCTTGTCTTCCTAGTTGATCACCCTCCAGGCAGTGTTGCAGGGTGAGGATTCCTGAACATAATGCTGGATATGTAGCGAAAGTTATGTAATGATACAAGATTACTTATGGCCTGTTTAGATAAACGTGTCACCTGTGTTTTCTTCTTTAGGTTCACTCAGTCGTAAAGTGATTACTCATCTTTGCTCTAATGACTCACACCTACACACACACATAAAACTTAAAATGTACATTATTTTTGGAAAACAACTTAGAGTTTATTATAACTAACAAGTATAAATGGCATGTTTTTTCAAGCCGAAATTGTCAACATAGTAGACATAACATACCTACAAGATGAAGCCTATAGTATACAGTATGTGTAAAGCTGCACGAGATAACTACAGGTTGAAGCCTTTAAAACGTATGCAACACCAGTATGTTATATACAGACTTCCAGGTCATTTATATACACCCTAAACAAGATGGGACTCAACACTGCTGCTTGTTTCATAGCTACCTATACTGCTGACCGGCATTTCTGGATTAACTATGTTAATCCTTGTCGAATCTGTGCCAGTGATATAACTCATTATATATGCTTGCTAACCAATCTACTGCCGTGTAATACTGATGTTATTCACATGAATATTGTTGGTGACAGGCTGGTGCGAGAGGTAACGGGGGTGAACGTGAACATGCGGGTTGGCATCCACTCTGGCAGGGTGCACTGTGGCGTGCTGGGACTACGCAAGTGGCAGTTCGATGTGTGGTCCAACGACGTCACCCTCGCCAACTATATGGAGTCAGGCGGAATACCAGGGTAACACACTCACACACTGTATAAAAAAAAAATGTTCGTGCGTGTTATTTGCATTATGATTTGGCGCGACTCACATAAAATAAGCATGTATTTTTGTTATATTAACAGGTCATTTCCTTATGACCATTTTTATATGTATGTATATATATATATGTATGTATGTATGTATGTATGTGTGTGTGTGTGTATGTGTGTGTGTGTGTGTGTGTGTGTGTGTGTGTGTGTGTGTGCGTGTGTGTACTCACCTATTTAGGGGTCGAGTCATAGCTCCTGGCCCCCTTCTTCACTGCTACTAGGTCCTCTCCATGCTCCATGAGCTTTATCAAGTTTCGTCTTAAAACTATGTATGGTTCCTGCCTCCACTACGTCACCTTCTAGGCTATTTCTCTTCCTGACAACTCTATAACCAAAGAAATACTTCCTAACATCCCTTTAACTCATCGGAGTCTTCAACTTCCAACTACGACCCCTTGTTTCTGTGTCCCCTCTCTGGAACATCCTGTTTCTGTCCACCTTATCTATTCCTCGCAGTATTTTGTATGTAGTTATCATGTCTCCCCTAACCCTCCTGTCCTCCAGTGTCGTCAGGCCGATTTCCCTTAATCTTTCTTCATAGGACATACCCCTTAGCTCTGGAACTAGCCTTGTTGCAAACCTTTGCACTTTCTCTAATTCCTTGACGTGCTTGACCAGGTGTGGGTTCCAAACTGGTGCTGCATACTCCAGTATGGGCCTGACGTACACAGTGTACAGGTTCTCCCAGTCGATTTCCTTGTGATTGAAGTCACCCATAATCAGCAGCTTTGCCCTGCTTGCATGAACCCTTCTGGCCACTTCAGCCAGTGTATCAACCATCGCTTTGTTGCTCTCATCATACTCTTGCCTTGGCCTCCTGCTGCTCTGTGAAGGGTTATACATCACTGCAATTACCACTTTGGGACTTCCAGACTGAAGTGTTCCTATTATGTAGTCTCTTGCTTCTCTGTTTCCTCTCTCCAGCTCATCAAAATCCCATTGGTTTTTGATGAGCAGTGTCACTCCTTCACTCCCTCTGTCTTTCCTCGGGATCTCATATCCCGATGGAAAGCTGGCATCTGTTATCAATCCTGTGAGCATGGTTTCTGTGAGAACAATGATGTCTGGTGATGCCTCTTTGACTCTTTTGTGCCACTAGCCCCAATTATTCGTTATTCCATCAGTGTTGGTGTACCATACCTTCAGTTTCCTCTCCAACACTGTGTTCTAGGGGATCTGTCAGGGCGGGGGACCTGTCAGTGTGTTGTGGTATTCTACAGCATAGTGTGGATTGTGATTTATGCTGGGATAATGTGTTTGGTTGAGGGGTTCTGGGGGTGTGTGCCTGTGCTTGTTGCTCTGCACTGCTCCGGTTGTCCTCTGCTGAATTTTTCCATGTATCTTTTCCTAGCCCCTTTCGCTTCTGTGTCCTCTCCTTCAGCTGCTGTCATTCTGTTCTTGTTCTCAGTCTAGGAACACCCTCTTGTATGTTGACAGTTTCTTCAGCCTTGGTTCATCATGCAGGATCCTGTTTTGCAACGTATCAGTATTGAAAAGCAGCTTGACGAGCCGATTTCTACCCTTCAGTCATGTTTTCCTCACCTATTATTTTGATGATGTTTTCAATCTCCTGTTTTTCTTCCTGTTGTCTTCCATTGTGTGTTCTCCCCTCACTCTCCTGAAGCACATGAATTATCACTGACTTTCCCTCTGTGTCACTGGGTCCCGTTTGTACATGGCCAATGTTTCCCTTGTATTTTCCTGAAACTCTTGGTGGCATGGTTGTGCCTCTGCATGGGACATATTCCCCTCTCCATCCTCCTTTACTGCTATCCCTGCTTTCAACAGCTCTCCTCCTTCCTTCCCTGGCCCTGCTTGGAAGACTGATAGGGCCTCAGCATAAGTCATGTCTCCTTCCTTTCCAGTGGGCTCTTCGTTCAGTAGGGGTGTACCTGCTTCAGATGTTATGCCTCCTCTGGGCAATAGTCCTGTAACTTGCTTCAGCCTATTTACCTCATATTCTAGGGCCCGTATCCTGGCTTCTGCGGCTACGGCTTGTGACTCCCATTTCTTCATTTCTGCCTCCATCCTCTTCTCCATTTTTGCAGAAAACTCACCTAGTTTGCTCTCCCACTTTTGTTCCATCTTTTTACATTGCTCTTCCATACATTCTTCTTTACCAGAACCATTTTCCACTGATCCTCTGAGCCTTCGACTTCCCTTCTGAGCCACCATTTTTTTTTTTTTGGGGGGGGGTTGAGAGGGGGGTTAAGTGTTGTAATGTGTGTGTGTGTGCTGTTTGCATGTGTATGTATATGTGTCGTGTGTGTATATTGTAGTGGTTGTGTACTCACCTGTTGTGTGTATTTACCTATGCATGTATATGTATGTGTGTGTGTGTGTGTGTGTGTGTGTGTGTGTGTGTGTGTGTGTGTGTGTGTGTGTGTGTGTGTGTGCATGTGTGTGTGTGTGTGTGTGTGTGTACTCGCCTAGTTGTACTCACCTAGTTGAGGTTGCAGGGGTCGAATCCAAGCTCCTGGCCCCGCCTCTTCACTGATCGCTACTAGGTCACTCTCCCTGAACTGTGAGCTTTATCATACCTCTGCTTAAAGCTATGTATGGATCCTGCCTTCACTACATCGCTTCCCAAACTATTCCACTTACTGACTACTCTGTGGCTGAAGAAATACTTCCTAACATCCCTGTGGTTCATCTGTGTCTTTAACTTCCAACTGTGTCCCCTTGTTACTGTGTCCAATCTCTGGAACATCCTGTCTTTGTCCACCTTGTCAATTCCTCTCAGAATTTTGTATGTCGTTATCATGTCCCCCCTATCTCTCCTGTCCTCCAGTGTCGTCAGGTTGATTTCTCTTAACCTCTCCTCGTAGGACATACCTCTTAGCTCTGGGACTAGTCTTGTTGCAAACCTTTGCACTTTCTCTAGTTTCTTTACGTGCTTGGCTAGGTGTGGGTTCCAAACTGGTGCCGCATACTTCAATATGGGCCTAACGTGCACGGTGTACAGGGTCCTGAACGATTCCTTATTAAGATGTCGGAATGCTGTTCTGAGGTTTGCTAGGACGCCCATATGCTGCAGCCCTTATTTGGTTGATGTACGCTTCAGATGTGCCTGGTGTTATACTCACTCCAAGATCTTTTCCCTTGAGTGAGGTTTGTAGTCTCTGGCCCCCTAGACTGCACTCCGTCTGCAGTCTTCTTTGCCTTTCCCCAATCTTCATGACTTTGCACTTGGTGGGATTGAACTCCATAGCCAATTGCTGGACCAGGTCTGCAGCCTGTCCAGATCCCTTTGTAGTTCAGCCTGGTCTTCGATCGAATGAATTCTTCTCATCAACTTCACGTCATCTGCAAACAGGGACACCTCGGAGTCTATTCCTTCCTCATGTCGTTCACAAATACCAGAAACAGCACTGATCCTAGGGCTGACCCTTGTGGGACCTCGCTGGTCACAGGTGCCCACTCTGACACCTCGCCACGTACCATGACTCGCTGCTGTCTTCCTGACAAGTATTCCCTGATCCATTGTAGTGCCTTCCCTGTTATCCCTGCTTGGTCCTCCAGTTTTTGCACTAATCTCTTGTGTGGAACTGTGTCAAACGCCTTCTTGCAGTCCAAGAGTATGCAATCCACCCATCCCTCTCTCTCTCTTGTCTTACTGCTGTCACCATGTCATAGAACTCCAGTAGGTTTGTGACACAGGATTTCCCATCCCTGAAACCATGTTGGCTGCTGTTGATGAGATCATTCCTTTCTAGGTGTTCCACCACTCTTCTCCTGATAATCTTCTCCATGATTTTGCATACTATACATGTCAGTGACGCTGGTCTGTAGTTTAGTGCTTCATGTCTGTCTCCTTTTTTAAAGATTGAGACTACATTTGCTGTCTTCCATGCCTCAGGCAATCTCCTTGTTTCGATAGATGTACTGAATATTGTTGTTAGGGGTACACATAGCGCCTCTGCTCCCTCTCTCAGGACCCATGGGGAATGTTGTCTGGCCCCATTGCCTTTGAGGTATCTAGCGCACTCAGAAGCCTCTTCACTTCTTCCTCGGTTGTGTGCACTGTGTCCAGCACTTGGTGGTGTGCCCCACCTCTCCGTCTTTCTGGAGCCCCTTCTGTCTCCTCTGTGAACACTTCTTTGAATCACTTGTTAAGTTCCTCACATACTTCACGGTCATTTCTTGTCTCTCCTCCTTCCTTAGCCTGATTACCTGGTCCTTGACTGTTGTTTTCCTCCTGATGTGGCTGTATAACAGTTTCGGGTCAGATTTGGTTTTTGCTGCTATGTCGTTTTCATATTGTCTTTGGGCCTCCCTTCTTATCTGTGCATATTCGTTTCTGGCTCTACGACTGCTCTCTTTATTCTCCTGGGTCCTTTACCTTCTATATTTTTTCCATTCCCGAGCACACTTGGTTTTTGCCTCCATGCACCTTTGGGTGAACCATGGGCTCATCCTGGCTTTTTCATTATTCCTGTTACCCTTGGGTGTGTGTGTGTGTTTACTCATCTAGTTGTGGTTGCAGGAGTCGAGTCATAGCTCCTGGCCCCGAGTCATAGCTCCTGAATGTGTGTGTGTACTCACCTAACTGTGGTTACTGGGGTTGATTCATAGCTCCTGGCACTGCCTCTTCACTGGTCGCTACTAGGTCCACTCTCTCCCTGCTCCATGAACTTATCATACCTCTTCATGACAACCCTCAACACAGATGGTTTTGAACATCTTTCCTAGGAGCCGAACTTTGGTAGTACCTCGTCAGAAAGACTGCAACTAACACTTGTGTGTAACTCAAGGGGCGTTACCAAGAATGCTACACTAGTCCCAAAAGGAAAACGAAGATGACATTTTATAAAATAGCAAAGGGTGAGCTCGGTTTTCACAAAGCAAGTCAAAGTAATACCAAGCGTATAACACACACACACACACACAACACACCACATATATAATATATATATATATATATATTATATATATATATATATATATATATATATATATATAATATATATATATATATAACAACACCGCGAATAGCCGAGGATTCGAACCCATGTCGTTTTAACTCGCCTCATGGTGAGTGAAAATCACATGACGCTCTAACCCACGGGAATACAGCATTCCTACAAGAATCAAGCACCCAGCAGAGCTAGGCGTTTTACCTTGATCCGAGGACAAAGGGTGGTATGGGTGCCTCAGAGCTAATTTCATTTTAATCCCCGTTTGGTGTACTTGCCTTCACGAGCAGTATTATACACACACACACACACACACACCACGCTCACGGTTCAGGGAGAGTGACCTAGTAGCGATCAGTGAAGAGGCGGGGCCAGGAGCTCGGACTCGACCCCCCAACCTCAACTAGGTGAGTACACACACACACACACACACACACACACACACACACACATAATATATATATATATATATATATATATATATATAATATAAATATATATAATATATATATATGGGGAGTATATTTGAAATGATAGGAAGTAAGATTTGACCAAACAGGAGAACAGTTCCAATTTCCCGAATAAACAACCCTTTACTAGCATGAAGACCTTCCCTTCCACTCTCCTTCAGGAGTGAAGGTCTGCAGAAAGTTGTGGTCAGAGAAGCTGTTACTGAGAGCAACTACGACGAAATGTCCAGGAAGTTGTAATAAGTTCCTGCCTTATCTTGCAGCACACTCGTGACGTCCTCGGGTAGCATCTTGTAAGCCAGACAAGATGAACGTCTTGCAACGCACTCGTGATGTCCTAAGCTAGCATCTTGCAAACTAGACAAGATGAACGTTTTGCAGCACACACGTGACGTCCTTAGCTAGGATCTTGTTAACCGGGCAAGATGAACGGGCTCAGGTATTTGGTGAATGCACACGTGAGCCACATCAAATAGTGGTGTGACGGGCTTATGTCAATAGATTTGGTGATGCAAAAAATACAGCAGTATGAACTTTTTTAGTACAATGTTTCATTTCCAATCAAGACATGATTTGAAAAAGCTCACCCATAAGCGAAACATTATCCAATTATAGTCAGGCTCTACAGTGACTTATTTGTGCTCCTCGCCTAGGGTTAGACTCACAAGTCTACAAATACATAGGTATCTAGGAGTGACCTAGGCACCTATTTTACTTTTAGATGAAAAACGACAGCATCTGTAAAAACTTGCCTATACGTCTCCTCCTGGAAATCTAACACTGGATTCTTTTGGTTATAATCCGAACGCTCGAGCCCTGAACCGCATATCTAAATAATCGAGAAAAATCATTAGATGAATCAAGAAATTTTTTAGACTAAGCAAAAGAAAAACAGACACATGATTCACGTTTTGCCGCAGTTTTAATGGGTTTTCCTGTAAAGTTTCCTTTCTAATTTAAGAGGCTTGGTCTGAGACCAGGCTGCGATCAATAACACCCCTGTTAATACAGCCCCAGAAGGTGATTACCTATCTTTTATCAAAGCTGAGGGATTGATCACCTCAAACTAACTCTCCCTTTCAACTGTAATCATTCTGTATTCGACTGATGACGCATGCTGCGCAGTCGAAAAGTTTCGTCAATAAAAACAACGAAGTGTTGCAAATGTTTCGGAATCATCAGGTGTTTATCCAGGTTTGTTCCTCCTACAGACGGATCCACGTGACTAAAGAAACCCTGAAGTACCTGAGCGGAGACTACAAGGTGGAGCCGGGTAATGGAGGGGAGAGGAACCACTACCTGAAGATGATGAACATAGAGACGTACCTCATTGTACCAGATGATGACTATCGCGACGTGAGTATCTGACTATATATATGCTGTATAATAAACCTAGCTCCCGTTTGATACTTGTATGGATTCATGGTCTTACGTGTTCGAAAATAAGTGTCTGCAATATTTTAATTAAAATTTATTAAAGTGAAACGATTAATTATGTATTATATATAATGTAATAGTTTATTATAAAACGTCTAGCCGTTTGTACTTACATTGTCAGGTGACGAAAAAAAGAAAATATAAAATATATTCATATATTCATAACTATTCATACATATCATAATATCCTATGTTTTAGAAGTCAGTATACAATTATAGATGTCCTTCCCAATCCAAAGTCCCCCCCCAATATAAAAAAGAAAGAACACTGTTACTTCCCATTTCCACGACTCTAGGTCCACTGTTTGCAAGGCGTTATCCTGAATTCCTTCCAAATCAATATTCCAAACCATGATCACTTACTCCACATTTCAGGGTCAGCCATTCGTTCCTAATTCCTTCCATATTTACCATCGATCTACTCCAACAGGCGATCTGCTTAAGGAGAAGTCCAAGCCCCATGTCCAGAAAACCTCCTTTACCCCCTCCCTCCAACCTTATCGGGCCGACCCCTACGCCGCCTTCCCTCCCTTACAGTTATACGCTCTCCAAGTCATTCTACTTTGTTCTACTCTCTCTAAATGGTCAAACCACATCAACAGTCCCTCTTCAGCCCTCTGACTAATACTTTTATTAACTCCACACCTCTTCCTAATTTCCACACTACACATTGCCCTTAGACAGGACATCACTGCCCCCAGCCGCCTCTTCGCTGCATCATTTACAACCCAAGCTTCACACCCATATAAGAGCGTTGCTACCACTATACTCTCGTACATTCCCTTCTTTGCCTCCATGGATAATTCAGTCCTTTCTAAAATTTTCTCATATACGTTAACGACAGTTTTTTTCACTTATGTTAATGTAAAAATTAATAATTCACTTCTTTACAACCTCTTTTCATACACAAGGGGGATTATCAACAGACCCTTGGCTGTCTTCGAAAAGAAACTTGATAACTTCCTTAAGTTAGTTCCTGATCAACACACACACCACGTACACACGCACACGCATATGCACACACACACACACACACACACACACACACACACACACACACCACACACGCACCACACACAGAAGAGGCGGAGCCACGACAGCAGCACACTCACCACCATACAACAACACACACACAGCACAACGCATCACAGACACACAGCACACACGCACGCACGCATACACACACACGCAACACACGCACAACACACGCACACACACGCACACACACACACACACGCACACACACACGCACACACACACGCACACACACACACACACACACACCACACACACCACACACACACACACACACACCACGCACCACACACGCACAACACACCGCACACACACACGCGCACACACACACCACACACACACACGACACACACACACACACACACACACACACACACACACACACACACACAATTTACCGTGAGAAAATGATAAAACGAAATTTGAGTATACGCCTCGTGCTGCCACTCCTTCGTCTGTCAAAGTGTTTTTGTCAGACATTTTTTTTGCTATTACAAACACATCGCTGACAGTTTTAACGTGTGAATCCTGGCTTTAGGGGGGAGAGAGAGAGAGGAGAGAGAGAGAGAGAGGAGAGAGAGAGAGAGAGAGAGAGAGAGAGAGAGAGAGAGAGAGAGAGAGAGAGAGAGAAGAGAGAGAGAGGAGAGAGATTTACAGACACAGACAGAGACAGTAAAGATAGATGAGTGGAGACAAGGGAAAGGTGTTAAGGAAGAGACGGAGTATTAAATTATGTCAGTAATAAGAGATCTAACTGACAAATGTGTCTTTGTCTCATTTCTTCCTCCCTCCCAAGACCAGCTACCATGTAATCACCCCCACTAAAGCCCTTTCCCCAGCCCTTATGACAAATCCCCCTCGCACCCCCGTCCTGGTCCTACCCTTCGACCTCTTATACTTACTAAAGTCTCCTAGCTCAGACTGACAGATTTCATCACTTGATGCAAGAAATCCATCATGTGTGATGGAACATGACAAGGAAACACAGGTTTTGCTCCCACTATGTAACTATGATACAGAGTATGGTAGCAGCACGCTGCTAGTATTCCCAATATGCAACTATCATATATAATAAGATAGCAGCACACTGCTGGTGTTCCCACTATGTAACTCACATACAAACTAAGATAGCTGCAAACTCCTATATAAATAAATAATTCATGACTCACATGGGTTTAGTACTTAACATGGATTAAACAAATAGTATACAATAGAGACCTTAGTAGATTACTGAGAGCCTCAGCTCTCCCCGACAGTCTGGCCACCAAGTCTTCACACACAGCGTCCATCTTTGTGCCCAATCAAGACTTCTAATAAGTCTTGTCTTAGCTTCCTGCAATTCGTCAGGACCCGGCATGACACGGATCTTGATATTTGCGACGAGCCGTCAGAGGCTCACGAGGGAGAGTTGTACTAATTGGCGTTCTGTGGTGCAGCAGGTTAGTTGCGACGAAGTAGTAGTAGTCGGTGTGGGGGTGCAGCAGAGGCTGCGGCCCATATCTTGATCGATGTCTTCAGTATGGTCAAAGCAAGATGTTCATGGTCGCAACCACACTCACGTGGGCTCTTCATCGCATCTATCACATACGATGAAGTCTCTCCCACCAGTTCCTGGGACAAATCCCAGCTGCAGTTCCTGGCAAAATCCCCGCCCTCACAGGAATCGCAGGGAGACACTGGGCACGTCTGTTGTGGAGTAACAGTTAGCTACTTCCGATGTCTTCGATGCCATAGTGCCTAAGTTTGGCAATGTTCTCTAGTGTGAGTATTCTTAAACTCAGTTGGTCTGCCACTTACCCCGCCCCCACGGGGCTCGTAGGGCGTGGCAGATAAGGTGGTGCAGAAGATGATGTGGTGACTATGATGTTAGTCTCGATGTTCTGGGCGGCAGGAAGTAATAAATACAAGTCCCTGCTCTTCCACGATGCAGTCGTGTCGTTTGAAGATAAAACCTATTAGTGAAGTAATAAACGACTCCACTAAACTTGCCCTTGCGGCTGCTCCGAAGAGCCCTCAGATTAAGTTAACCGGAATATTCTCCCTAAAACACGCCTTCATCGCCGCCTACATCATCCAGATTGAGGCCGACAAATTCATCATGGACACCGCCACCAAGACCAAGGACCGAGGATTTCAAGTTCTGTCCTCTCCAGTTCTGAAAGCGAAAAAATCCATCTTCGTCAAAAGACTGGAATGGATTATTACGGCTCTCTTTATCGATGACCTCAAGGTTTCTATTGAAGACCAGAACCTCTGGGCCTCTGTGGACTATCACAAAGATACTAACTGCTTCCTGCGTGATCAAGATCACGTTCACTGACGTCGCCATGGCTACCCAAGCTTTCGCCGACGATCTGGCTATATCCTTTTACCATATTAACCCAGGAAACATCGAATCCGAGCGATACCACTACATCACGCCTTGTTGGAACTGTTATTCTTGCAACCATTTATCCAAGAACTGCCCAGTCAAGGACAAGAAATTCTGCTCGGAATGCGGAAGTGAAGACCACTACTCCACCAATATGCCTTAACAGCTATAGCAACCATCGCACTCTTGCAGCAAAATGCCCCCCGAGAAAAGAAATAGTCGCAAAAAAGAACCAAGAAGATTTGAAGAAAATGACCACGAAATCTCCAACTTATGCCGCCATCACTAATCTCCAGACCGACACTACCAAGATTCTCCAAGCCACTCAGCAGGTACCCATTACCGGCAACTCTCTACACTTCCAGACGGAGCTCCATTTAAAGTTCTTTACTCCATGGTGTATGTACAGCTTGCTAATGCAGCCAACCCAGGATCCTTCAACACTCCAATCAACGAATTATTCCGCCTCATCAACATGCCAAGTTTCAAGTTCCCAGACTCTACACCCTCCGCCGACATCCTCAGGATCATCCCAGTTATTAACATCACTGCACCAGCTGATCTGATATCTTCCTCTGTCCATTCTACTGCTCTTCGACTAACTTTAACTGCCGTCAAGCCTACTACCGCCGAAACCAATGCATTTATATAATCAGTCATCACCTCCCAAGTCTCCAACAATACTTCACATGCACAACCAGATGCCAAGCAGCCAGCCACTCTCTCCACTGCTCCTGCTCAGCCACAGACATCACCTCCAGCCTCCCATTCTACTCCTGCTACACAACCACCCAAGACCAACGAATCTCAGCCTACAGAATCTTCCGAGGAAGAGGTTGACATATTCGCCAGGGGACTGGAATGGGACAATCTCGTCTTCTACATTTTTCCATCCTACAGTAGTTCCATGCTCTTTGCAAGGAACTGTACAATAGGCTGTGTGATGGGTCAGTCAAGTTGCCAATGAACCACCTCATATCTTATCGCCTAAACAAATTCAGAGTTCGACAAGATCCATATATCCGACACAACCAGTCATGTTGAGCTGTCCCACCTCTCCAGTTCAACCTTCAAGAAATTAAAACGTCTCTTCCACTGCTAACTCACCTCAAATCATTAGGCTCTTCTGTCTAACCAAGGCCTACTCAGGACGACTGTTGCTCTTCACCTCGCCAAGGAATGCTTCGCTGCTGGGTTTAGCCCTGGTCCTTTCTCTACGACTGAAGCCACTCCTCTAGAGCACTATTCTTCGCCTGTCCCCACTTCAAGACTCGCCCTTCGGGGACTTTCCTGGGTCTCAAAATATCAAACCTACATCTCCACAGACTGGGAACATACACTGAGAGGTGTATGTCTCTCATTGTACATACACCAAGAGTCACCTTTATCCAAATTTTAGATTAAATATAACATATTAACATCATCTCCGTTTTCTGTGTGTGTGTGTGTGTGTGTGTGTCTGTTCCTTCAGTATCTACGTCCTCCCCTTTCCTCAATTATTATTATAATAATT